CATGCAAATTTTCTAAAACTTGGGTGTCTTTTGTATATCTTTTTAGTGTGTACATGCGTGCACACATGTATAAGTATGCACTACATCATGTATGTGGATGTCCGAGCACAGGCTGTGGAAGTCAGTTCTCCCCTTTTTCTTTCTGAGTCCCTGGAATTAAACTCAGGTCATCAGACTAGCAGGAAGCATCCTGACACACAGAGATATCTTGTAGGCCCAAGTTTTTTTTTTTTTTAAATTTTCCTTTTAGTAAAATTATTAATACCCAGCAGCCCAGGTTGGCCTGGAACTTATTATGGACATAACTGATGCTGCCCTGAAATGTACAGTGGTCTTTCTGACTTAGTGTATCAACTGCTCATATTACAGGTGTAGAACACCATGCCCAACTCAAGGCTCTACTGCGAGAGCAATCAGGAGGCATGGGAGGTGTTCAGATCAGCATGCTATAAGATTTATCAAGGGATGGATGTGAAGGTGGGGAGATATGGGAGGGCAGGAGCCCAGAGAAGAGGCCCAAGGAAGCCATAAGCAGAGGTCGGAACTCGGTCTGGGATCACCACTGCCTCTTCTCTCTCCACAGCTGCCATTGCGCCCAAGGATGAGTTTTTCTACAGTTTCCTGAAGCCTTGGTTAGGTGAGTGCCACAGGGAGGAGGGTGATCCCCACTTTATAATAAGACTACGGGGAGACTCAGAGCAGTGGAAGGAAACTTTGCAAAATTGGGTGCCAGTATGAAGAAAAGGCAAAATGGTTGCCTTCCCCCTCAATTCAACCCCAACTGGTTTTTATATTTCTTTTTCATTTATTTATGTTTGTTTATTTATTTTAGTATATTGGTGGTTTTTCCTGCATGCATGTCTGTATGAGGGTGTCGGATCCCCTGGAATTGGAGTTGCAGACAGTTGTGAGCTACCATGTGGGTGCTGGGAATTGAACCTGGGTCCTCTGGAAGAGCAGCCAGTGCTCTTAACTGCTGACAGGTTTTTATATTTCTAATGTTTCTCTGCCCTTTGGATTTCTCATTGGCTAAGTTCTTCAGGGAGGTACTATCATTCTGGTGTCTAGCTTTGTCCCTTCCTCAGATCCCTGTCCCATTAGTTGAGGACAAAAAAGTTCATCTGCTGTGTATCTTGGGACTGGAGACTCCCTCTGCTTCTGACACAGGGGCTTAGACTTCCTATACCTTTCAATTTTAGGATAAATTGAGGTTATGTCCAGTAGGCACTGGCAGGTAGCTGGGGAAGATGGGGTGGGAGGTGGGGTTGCCTCCTGATTTTCTATCGTTTTCCAATGGACTCTAAACACACCTCATTATGAAAAGGGAGCCAAAATGGTTGTCTATGAGACAGGGAAGTCAGGAGAGTATATGGGGTTTCTTGGAGGGCTCTGGTCGTGAAGAGGAGCGGTCTCTAGCCTTTGGTTTTCTGGGTTCAGGGGATGGACTTTTGCTCAGCAAAGGGAACAAGTGGAGCCGGCACCGCCGCCTGCTCACACCTGCTTTCCACTTTGACATCCTGAAGCCCTACATGAAGATCTTCAACCAGAGCACAGACATCATGCATGTGAGTCCCGAGACTCATCTGGGCAGGCCTCAAAGAGGAGGGGCAGTGTCGTTGTTACACCTGAAATGAGTTGGCAGTGGGTCCCCCTTGCTCCTGTCTGAGCAGCTGTGGTCTGCGGTCTTTACACTAGGTGGCCTCGTGTTTCCCTTCCAGGCTAAATGGCGGCGGCGTCTGGCAGAGGGCTCTGTGACCTCCTTTGATATGTTCGAGCATGTCAGTCTTCTGACCCTGGACAGCCTTCAGAAATGTGTGTTCAGTTACAACAGTGACTGCCAGGAGTGAGTGTGGCCCCCAGGGTAGGTGGGGGTGGAAGGAGAGTGGGACCCTCCTTGCTGTGAAGCAAGCTTGGCTGTGCACCCTGAACCTTGTTTTCTTTCTTTATCTTCCTGGTGGCCCCCAAGGTGACGTCACCTCTCTCAGCCTCAGTTCTCCTATAAAAAGGATCAAGAGAGATTTTGGCTGGGTGTGGTAGTCCACACCCGTGATCCATAATTGCACCTTTTGAGAGATTGAGGCAAGAGGATCTTGAGTTGAGTTTAGCCTGGACAGCTTAGTGAAGCCTTGTCTCAAAAACCCCGCAGAGCTAGGTGGCACACACCTTTAAACTGAGCACTCAGGACGCAGAGGCAGGAATATTGCTCTGAGGTAAGGCCAGCTTGCACAGTGACCTTTAGGATAACCTGGGCTACATCTCGAGAACCTGGCTCAAAAGCAAGCAAGCAAGCAAGCAAAAACTCCATATAAATACATAATTAAGTAGGTAAAACGGTGTCGGCCAGTGTCCTCGCACTTAGTGGACGCTCAGGAAATGCTGCTCTTCCTTATTCCTCCACAGAGAGGGCACAGCACAGAAATGTTCACCGCATGCTTTCTTTGATTTCTCCCTCTCCTCCCTCTTTTCTCTCCTTCCTTTCCTCTTGTCACTTTTATCCTTTTTCTTCCCTCTTATTTTATCTTATCCCCTCTTCTTCCTTATCTTCTTTTTCTTCATCTCCTTTCTGTACTGCTATTTTTCTTTATCCGTATCTCCCTCCCTCTCCTTTCTTATGCCCACTTTCTTTTCCTTCTATAAAAAAATATGAAAAACTTAGTTTATCTTTAAATATTATGCCTTTGTGTCCATGCAGAGGCAGGCATGTGCACATGAGTACAGGTGGCCATCGAGCCTAGAGGTGTCAGAGGCCCTGGAGCTGGAGTTGCAGGCAAGTTGTGAACTGTCCAGCACGGGTGCTGGGAATTAAACCTTGTTCCTCTGGGAGACTAGCATGTGCTCTTAACTATTGGGTCATACTTCCATCCCATCCAACAGGCTTTCACACAGTACCCACTCTTGATCACCCCTGCTTCCACCTCTTTAGTGTTGGGATTATAGAGGGGGCCACCACCCCTAATCCTTTGCCAAACAAAGACGAAAACATCTGATTTTGAGAAATGCTCTAAGGATAAAATAATGTGGCATCTTTCCTGGCTTGTAAAAAGCAGTCAGTGAATATTTGTTGCCTGAACTAATAAAATAATAATCACTTAGGTTTATCCAAATATTCCTTATGTGGCTGATTGTGCAACTCTGAAGTAGGGTGCCTCTTATGTAGGAGGCCCTCGGTTCCACCTTTAGTCTTGCGCAATGAAATATAATAAGCCAGAACAGGGCTTAAGAGATGATCCAGTGGTTACAAGCACATGATGCTCTTGCACAGGATGAGAAATTTGGTTCTAAGCACAAAGATGGGCAAGCAGTTAACAAACCACCTATAGCTCCAGTTCCAGGGGCATCTTCTGGCCTCCTAGGGCACCTGCATGCATGTGGTGAACACATACACTGAGACCCCCACATGAGCTGGATGTGGTGGCAGACATCTGTAATCCCAGCCCTTGGTAGGCAGATGCAGAAGGATTTCTGAATTCAAGGCCAGCCTGGTTTACAGAGCAAGTTCCAGGACAGCCAGGGCTACACAGAGAAGCCCTGTCTCAAAAAACCAAAAAGCAAAACCAAAACCAAACCAAAACAAAAAAACCTCACGGGCTGGAGAGATAATTTAGTGATTAAGAGCACTTGATGTTGCTGTGTAGAACCCAGTTTGATCCCTAGCACCTTTCTGGCAGTTCAGCACCATTTGTAATTCTAGTTTTACAGGATTCAGCTCCCGTTTCTGACTTCTGAGCGCACCAAGGACACATACAGTGCACAGATGCGCAAGCAAAGCACTCATACACATAAAATAAAAAATAAAAACAATCCAAGTACTTGATGGGTAAAGACAGGGCAGCAAGAGACTGTGTCTCAAAAAACACAAAAAGACTGGTGATATAGCTCAGTTGGCAAAATGCTTGCCTAGTACATGCAAAACCTTGCAATCCATCTCCAGCCACACACACACACACACACACACACACACACAGAGAGACAGGGACACACACACACACACACACACACACAGAGAGAGAGAGAGAGAGAGAGAGAGAGAGAGAGAGAGAGAGAGAGAATACAGGGGCTGGAGAGGTGGCCCAGCTGTAAGAGCAGTTGCTGCTTTGTAGAACTTGGCATTCAGTTCCAAATAACCACGTGGCAGCTATCAATCAACTGTAACTCCAGCCCCACTAGATCAGACTCCTTTTGGTCCATTCACGCGCTACACACAGCTGGTGCACAGACATACATGCTGGCAAACACTCATACACATAAAATAAAAGCAATTTAAAAAATAACAAAATAATACAGAGATTCTGTCTGTCATTATGCAACAGAGACGGGGCTCAGTGCATGTCTCTGGGCCGCGCGGGTGGCTCACTGTCCTTCTCTCTGCAGGAGAATGAGCGATTACATCTCTTCCATCATCGAACTGAGCGCTCTGGTCGTGAAACGCCAATACCGCCTGCATCACTACCTGGATTTCATCTACTATTTCACGGCCGACGGGCGGCGCTTCCGCCAGGCCTGCGACACCGTGCATAAGTTCACCACTGAAGTCATCCAGGAGCGGCGGCGGGCACTGCACAAACAGGGCGCAGAGGCGTGGCTGAAGGCCAAGCAAGGCAAAACCTTGGACTTCATAGACGTGCTGCTGCTGGCCAAGGTGAGGCTGGGTGGAAGTAGGCTCCTGACCCTAAAATTACACCCAGTTCTGAGAAAATTCTCAGACTCGTGGGGATTACAGTTATGAGCTACAGTTCTTCTACAAGAGCGGCAAGTGCTCTTAACTACGGAACTATCTTTCCAGTCTTTTTGTGTTCGTTTCTCGAGACAAGGTTTCTCCGTAGCTTTGAAACCTGTCCTGGAACTAGCTCTTGTAGGCCAGGTGGGCTCGAACTCACAGGGATCTGTCTGCCTTTGCCTCCCGATGCTGGGATTAAAGGCATGCACCACCACCATCCGGCTCTTTCCAATCTTTCTTGTTTGTTGCCTGTTCTTCACTTTTGAGGCAGTATCTAATTTAGCCAATGCTAACCTCAAGCTCTTTGTGTAGCTGAGGATGACTGTGAATTTCGGATCCTCCTGCCTCCATCTCCCTAGTGCTGGCATCACAGGGATGAGTCACTCAGCTTCTTGTATGGAAATTCTAACACAGTTCTGGATTCCAGCCCTGACTCTGCCACTCAGAGGGAATCTGATTGAGATCATCATATCCATCTCTTGTATCCTGGTGCTCATAACACCTGATGACAAAGTTGCTGGGTATCCAGCAGGATAAGTGACTGTCAGGAGTTGCTCAGTAAATGCAGGTGTGCAGCATGTAAGAGTAAACGGAGGCGTGCAAATCTGACGGTAACCCTTGCATAGATTTAAGTCATCTCTAGGTATCTTAGAATAGCTGGGTATGGCGACACAAAACCCCAGAACTTGGAAGGTTCAAACAGGAGGATTGCGAGTTTGAGACGACTCTGGGCTACATGACCTGTGAAGAAATGGAAAGGATCAAAACGAAAGAGGAGAGGGAAGAGGAGGAGGGCTGGCAAGATGGCTAGGGGGTAAAGAGGCTTGTCAGCAAGTCTGATGGCCTGAGTTCGAGCCATAGAACTCATGTGATGGAAAGAGAGAATTGAAAATTGTTCTGACCCCATAGGCAGTATCTCCCAGGAGAGGCTGGAGAGGCAGGTTTGCCTAGGAAATACACAGTCCTGACTATCTGCAGCAGCAGCAACAACAACAACACACACACACTCCTAATCACTTAGTGAAATTGTATCTGGTAGTTTATGTAAATGGTGAAATTACCTAATGCATTTCCTCCTCTTCTTTTTACATTTATTTATTTATTGAATCTATGAAGGCGTGTGAGCATGCATGTGCCACAACATAAATGTGGAGGTCAGAGGGCAAACTGTGGGAGTTGATTATCTCCTACCTCGTGGGTTCTGGGGGTTGAACTTAGGCTGTCGGGATGAGTAGGAGACATTTTTATGTATGGATTTTATGTCTGGATCCATTTTTCTGTCCCCCTCACTCATGTTTTGAACTGTCACATAATTGTCAAGTGATGCCTGTATGAACTCCCTTTGACATTCCTTCCCCTTTCTCACCTTTCAACTTTTATAGTACGTTGCATCCTTCACTCTCCTTGGAGTGTTTATACCCTGTTTAGTTTAGGAGAGGGGTGGATGGGAAGCCAGGCACACAGGTGCACAGAGGTGCATGGTACTTGCAGACCTCTAGGTTGTGGGAAGTGGGGTAAAGCAGGCTCGGCAACCTCCACTGCCATTGCAGGATGAAGAGGGAAAGGAATTGTCTGATGAGGACATCCGGGCAGAGGCTGATACATTCATGTTTGAAGGTAAGAATGCCGAGTTAGGCGGAGAAGTGCGACTGTCCTCCCGGTTTGGGGAACACCCCAGGGGACACTGTAGTCTGCCTGGAGGTGGAGAAGTGCGGCTGTCCTCCCGGTTTGGGGAACACCCCAGGGGACACTGTAGTCTGCCTGGAGGTGGCAGCTTTACCATACCTATCTGCCACAGGTCATGACACAACATCTAGTGGGCTGTCGTGGGCACTGTTCAACCTGGCCAAGTATCCGGAGTATCAGGAGAAGTGCCGGAAAGAGATCCAAGAAGTCATGAAAGGCCGGGAGCTGGAAGAGCTGGACTGGTCAGTTGGGAGGATCAGGAGGATTGAAGGGAGGAGTCTCTGCTCTATCACTTTCTGGTTATGTGGCCTTAGACAAGCCCCTTAAGCTTCCAGAATTCCAATTAGTAACGTGGGGCTGACTGTGATGCCTACCCCTTCTTCAGCAGTTCTCAGAACCACTTCACCTAGCAAACATCCCTCAAATTCAGTGGCTTGTAGCCGGCATTTAGTTATCACTTTACCCGCACGTGAATTTTTTGTGGTTATTGAGCCCCGTTGTATGGAGTGGGGCTACTTCCAAACTGTTGTCTGGGTTCAGGTTTCTTCCAGGAGTCTCTTAATTCTGCTAGGATCCCATATTACTCTGGGGCTTGTTCTCAAAGACTCCAGAAGTGTAAAAAAAAAAAAAAAAGTTTTGCATGCACCAAAACATTGTGGAGGAGTCAAGTCCCATGGTGAAACTCAACAAGAGTGGGGCGGGAAGGTCCCAGTGGCCTGAGAATAATGCCTGTAGACACATCACCCTCTGGGAAGGAATGTTTCAGTTTGGAGAAAGTGGCATGCCAGGGTGATCATGTTTGCAGAAGAGAGAGCAGGAAGACAGCCTTGAGATGTGAGCTGACTCTGAGGGATGCAGAGCAGAGGCCTGTAGCCAGACATGGTGGCACACTGATCATTCCAGCCTTTCAAAGGCTGAAGCAGGAAGAGTTCAAGGTCAGCCTTGTCTACAGATTGTGCTTGAGGCCAGCTGTATGAGGCCAGGGCTGTATGAGTCACTGTTTCCAAAAAAGCAGAAGAGGTCTGGGAGATGCCGTAGTTGGCAAAATGTTGCCTTGTGAACATGAAAGAAAATCACGCTTAAAAAACAAAACAAAACAAAACAAAACAAAACCCAAACTGGTGTTTTAGTTATTGTTTTATTGCTATAAAGAGACACCATGACTATGGCAACTCTTATAAAGGAAAGTATTTAACTGGGGCTTGTTTATAGTTTCAGAGTTTAGCCCATTCCCATCATGACAGGAAGCATGGCAGCATGTAGGCAGACACGGTGCTAGAGAAGGAGCTTAGAGCTCTATGGCTCAATCTACAGACAGTAAAGAGAGAGACACTGGGCCTGGCTTGGGCTCTTGAAACCTCAAAGTCTGCCCTCACTGGCTCCATCAGCAAGGCTACACCTCCTAATTAAGTAGTGTTACTTCAAATACATTTGAAACACTCAAATATATTATCCTATGGGGGCCATTCTTATTCAAGCCACCACAACCGGATATGGTGGCAAACACTTATAATCCCAATACTGGAGAGGTAGAGATAGGCAGATTCCTGGGCTCACTGGTCAGTCAGTCTAGCATAATCAGGGAATTCTAGGTCTATGAGAGACTCTTCCCCACCCCCACCCCCAAAATAGATGGTGTATTGTGTCCGAGGAATGACATTGGAGGTGTCACGTATGCATACATATATGGACAAACACCCAAATGCATCCATGCATGCTACCACAGATCAACAAATGCACACACACACACACACACACACACACACACACAATCACAGCACTGGGGAGGCTGAGGCAGGAGGACTAAAGTTTAAGGCCAGTCTGGGCTACATAGTGAGTTTCATGCTGGCCTGTATGGGGAGAGGAGGGAAATCACTTCCTCTGAACTAAGTATTGCTTTCAGTTAACCCCTCCCTCCAATTAAGTAGCATAGTGAGAAGTCCCTTCACTTCTCTCTCAAACTTCTGTGTGAGTCCTCAGGGAGGCTCTCAGGTGAGAGGTACAGTACCCTAAATGACTTGCTCCTCTGCCTTTACAAAAAGGGAGATGCTACAGGGTCTGGCTAGGGAGTCAGGCAGGAGACGATGCTAGTTCCAATCTTACTGCTCTTCTGTGTTCTTTGTCATGTTTATATCCGTGATATCTTTATGACAAGGATGTTCTTTGGTACTTTATGACAGCAACATAAAGCTTCTTGGGGGCTGGAGATACGGCACAGTGGTTAAGGGGTCCTGAATTCCAATCGAGCACTGAACAGCTCACCATTGCTTGTCATTCCAAATACAGGTGATACGGTGCCCCCTTCTGGCCTTCACGGGCATCTGCATACATGTGACAGATACACCCAAAACTAGCCTGTTAGAGTTTGGTGTAGTGGTGCACAAGTCTAGTCCTGGAGGCTGAGACAGGAGGATTGCAGTAAGATCGTGACTAGCTTAAGCTATATAACAAAACTTTGTCCAAAGCAACGCAATGCACACATACATGCATGCATGCACTCACAAGAAAGACAGAGTTTTGATTTAAAAAAATGAACTAATAGTTACAACTAGTCCATTTTGGATTTCTGAGTACAATAAACTATTCTGAAATAAGCAATGAAACAGAAAATACAACAGATGAAATCTGCAAAGGATGCATACAGGCTCCTGCTCTTAGGTTCCTAACTGCTCTGGTACCTCCCGTGATCGCACAGCAGTTCATCAATGCTAGGTTAGTGCTGGCCCCAGCAGCCAGCCCCATTGCTTGCTGTTTCTTTTGTCACCATTGTGACTGGTTGATGGTCAGATAATTGTGTCTGAACCTAGGACCTCATATACACCAACCAGTTGGACTATCACTGAGAAACATCCTTGGTTATCTTTTCCTTTTTTGTTTCTATTACATTTATTTATTTATCTAACATGTGTGTGTGTGCACGCACGTGTGTATTACTGTAGACATGTGGATGTTGGAGGACAACCTGCAGGAGTTGGCTTGCTCCTTCTCCAGGGATTGAATCCAGATAGTCAGGCTTGGAAGCAAGCTTAACTCACTGAGCCTTCTCACGACCTTCCTCTGGTTTTAGCTTTGTTCTGTTTTAGGTCAGGGCCTCACTAAGTTGCTTGGGTTGACTTTGAACTCATTCTCTAGCAAAAGCGTCCCAGTTAACTGGAATATAGGCATGGTGGTCAGATATTTCATTTCCTAAGAGTTTGTTATGAGGCTTGAGGTCACAGTCAGTGCCTTCAACAAATCAGGTTCAGTAGCACATTCTCCATTACTCAATTAAAGCAGCCAAATTACTAATGGGAACCAGAAAAAGGAGATATATTCAAAGTGACCACATTGGGAAGGAGAGGGGCAGACTACAAAGAGTAACAGTGTTACTTTCTCAAGTCCATTTTTGCTTCCTGGAATGAAGTTAAGGTTTAAGGAGAGGCCAGAGTTATATATGTGTAAGCAGCCCTGTCAAGGTGCTCACATATATACCTCATCACCATATGTACTGTAAAGTGATCTGACTGTAAGTCTCTTCCTGGGAGAGAGTTTCCCTCCTGGGAGCCTTTACCTTTCCCCCTTTCCTGGCATTAGATCCCTGGGGGAATTCCAGGTTCCTGTACTCCATTGCTTGAGCAGTCAGATGGTCAGATTGAGGGCTCAGTGTCTCTTTAGAACATCTTCCTTCCTGGCCAGCCACACTCCTGACACCAGCCTGGGACACTGCAGACTGCAGAAGCTGTGGGGCCATGGCGGATCTCTGAATGGGTCCTACGAAAACCATTCCCGTGTGTGCATGCGTGTGTTCGGGGAATTACACGTGTGTGCGTGTGTGTGTTCGAGGAGGAGGCTCAGTTCCTTTCTCTTCAGGGACGACCTGACTCAGCTGCCCTTCACCACCATGTGTATCAAGGAGAGCCTCCGCCAGTTCCCACCCGTGACGCTCATCTCTCGCCGATGCACCGAGGACATCAAGCTGCCAGATGGGCGCATCATTCCCAAAGGTGCCTGCTACGGCATGGTTTGCAGGGTTCCAGTCACGCCTGCTGTGGGTGCAGGACCCCTACGATGGGGAAGATCCCTGTGTGTCTGTTGCTAGTGATGCGGGCGTCTTAGTTTCATTTCCTGCCGATGTGACAATATATATAACCCGGCAAAAGCGATTTTAGGGGCAAAGTGTTTATTTGGTTCATGATTCCCAGTTACAGTCTATCATGGTAGATGGGTTAGGGTGGCCACTAATGGTATTGCAGCCACAGACAAAAGCAGAGAGCAAGGAATGACTCCATGCATGCCTTTTTATTCTGTCCAGGTCCTAGCCCATGAAACAGTACCACTCACATTCAGTGTGTCTTCTCACCATAAGTAATCTAGTTAAAAAGATCTTCTATGGGGGCTGGAGACACAGCTCAGCGCTTTAAGAGTGCTGGCTCCCAGCAACCATGTGGTGGCTCACAACTGTCTGCAACTCCGGTCCCAGGGGATCCGATACCCTGTTCTTAACTCTGTAGGCACCAGGCTTGAATGCGATACACATACATACATGCAGGTAAAATACTCATACACACAATAAATAAATAAATAAACCTAAAATATATAAAAAAAGAATAAAAGCGCTTGCAATTATTGTAGAGGACCTGAGTTTAGTTCCAAGCACCTTGTTGGGCAGTTCACATCCACCCATAATTCCAGAGCCAGGGTATCTGACACACACTTCTGGCCTCTGTGGGCACCTTCATACATAAGTCATACATAACACACACACACACACACACACACACACAGTACATATAAAATAAAAATAAATTTTGAAAAGGAAATCTTCTCACTGGCATGTCTACAGAGCAGTCTAACGAGGCAACCCCTCACTGAGACTCCTTTTCCAGGTGATTCTAGACTACAATAAGTTGATATAACTGGCCGGCACAGAGGGCAGCCTGGGCGTGTGCGGAGGAGGTAGATGTGTCTGTAGCCAGACTGGAGAGGCCTGGACCTGGGTGGGTGCTGATGATAGAGAGTTGGTTTCTTTAAAATAAGTTATTCTCATTTATTATTATCATTATTACTACTACTGCTACCCCCTTTTTATTATTATTACCACCACTCTGTGTGTGTGTGTGTACATGCACATATATGGAGGTCAGGACAGTTTTTAGCAGTCAATTCTTTTCTTTCACCATGAGTTCTAAGGTTTGAATCCAGATCCTCAGGATTTCACAGCAAGCATTTCAACCTGCTGAGCCTTTTTTAAAAATTCTGACCCAGAAGGTTAGGTTCACTCAGTAGCCATCTCTCCCCTGAGAGCCACGCTATATTTAGGGTGATGCTTGGGGCTCAGACTGAAGTACCACCCAGTTTCTGGAGAGCTGCAGTAGGCTCCACACATTCCTGTCCATGTGGCATCAAGGATGAGCAAAAGGAAGAGGCTGGCTTGAGAAGCCCAGGATGGAGGGAGGACCTCATCCAGGGAAGAAATGTGGACAGCCATTCTCCAAGACAAGATTGTTTATGTAGAACTTCAGGGTGCAGGTGGTGAATGAACGGCTTTGCGGGCCGAGTGCAGGCAGCTGACTCCATCCAGAGGGCAGAAGGAGCCAAAGGAGGTAGCTACACGTAGAAGGAGCATTCACATACCTGTGAGCAGAAAAGTCATCCTGTATGGGCAGTCAGGAGATGAGGCTTGCTAGAGACAGAGAGAACAGACACAGCAGCAAATGTTTTCAGAAAAGGACGGACAGGAAGTGGTGGTAGCTGGCGGTAGTCTCTCCCTGACTGCAGAGAGAATCAGAAGTGTGTGTGTGTGTGTGTGTGTGTGTGTGTGTGTGTGTGCTCAAAAGCTCCCTTGGGCCCCACTGATTCCAAATGTCTCTACAGGTATTATCTGCCTGCTCAGTATCTATGGGACGCACTACAACCCCCTAGTGTGGCCTGACTCTAAGGTAAGTTCCTCCCTTTGTCCTTCCATGGCCCCTGCTCCTTCTCAGGGCTGGTTGCAGGAACTGGCCCTCCTGCTCCCAGAGCTGCAGCCAGTCCTTGTTATGAGGTCATCAGTTACTGCTGTGTGCTGTGTTCAGTGCTCAGTACTGATAACCTACAATGACACTGCCTTTGCCCTCAGGGCAGCAAGCCAATAGATAAGATCATTTTGGGAACTGCTAAACGCCCTGTGAAAGTAAAAACAGCTGGGGTGGGGACATTTCGCTCAGGGTGTCAGGAGAGGCCTAGAAGACGAGGTTTGAGCTGAGAAGCCTATTCCAAGCTCAGGAAAAAGGCAAGTGCAAAGGCCCCCCGGGGTAGAAAAGAGCGTGGACGCAGAAGCTTGACAACAGGAGATAGGCAGAGCTAAACTGTAATGTCTGTGGTAGGCTGGAACAGATGGCCCTGAGGTGTTCCACCTGCAGGTGCCCTCAGTGGTTGAGGTGCAGACTAGGCAGTATGGTTGGGCCAGTCGCCAGACTCACTCAGGCAATTCTTCTCTAGGTGTACAATCCTTACCGCTTTGATCCGGAAATCCCACAACAGCGCTCCCCACTGGCCTATGTACCTTTCTCAGCAGGTCCCAGGTAAGGCTTCTTCTGACCTGAGATGTTGCCACAAATGGGAGGGACTGGTCAGGACCCAGTGTCAGGTCAGGGGTGTGCTCCACGGAAGTAGAGACCAAGCCTCACCCACATGTAATTTCTGGCAACACAAGCCCCTTTGTACCCTTGGCTAAACCAAGGGTTCGGAATCAGATAGCAATTCCATCCTTGAGGACAAGGTACCTCTCCTGTTTTTTAGCCCGGGTTTTTGGACTCACACATTTTTTACAGCTCTGTGATGCGGTCTTCGGTTCTACAGAGACAGGAACTGAAGCTCAGATAACGGTGCTCATCCATCAGTGGTAGGGTTTGAACCTTTGACTCCAGGGTTGCACGTCCTAAGGATCCTTGCCTCTCATTTGAACCCTTCCTTCAGGAACTGCATTGGGCAGAGCTTCGCCATGGCAGAGATGCGAGTGGTCGTGGCGCTGACACTGCTGCGCTTCCGCCTGAGTGTGGACCGAACGCACAAGGTGCGGCGGAAGCCGGAGCTCATTCTGCGCACGGAGAACGGGCTTTGGCTCAAAGTGGAGCCTCTGCCACCGAGGGCCTGAACGTGCCTGGCGGGGCCCGGCGGATCCCGGGGTTCAAGCTCCGCCCACTCAGGCCTAGACCACGCCTCCAAGGGTCTGGGTCCGCCTCCAGGATATTGAAGGCGTAGATTATGCTCCTCGAAAGTACGGGAGGTTAAAGCTTTGTGGAGACTCTTGTTGGTGCCGACCACGCCCCTCAGGACAAGGCCCAGCCCCTTGGGATCTGATTCCTCCATTTGAGGTCAAAGTCCCGCCTTAAATTACCCTCATCACCTATCAGCGTGAGGGAATCAGGCTAGGCCCCGCCCCCTGGGCTTGGGCCACGCTCCCAAGACAAGGCAGATCAACCTGGCCCCGCGGGTTCAGGTTCCCAGACCTGACCCACAGAACCTTCCCTAGACCTAAGACTCAACGCTGGGACTGGATTCTCGCCTTCCCTCCGGCTACGCCCAGGTTAGCTTCTAAACTGAGGTTTTAGAAGCTGGAGTTGCAGCCCTGAACCTTCAACGTCACCTTTCTAAGACTCGCACCTATGCGGAAGGATTGCACAAGCTGAATCTCAGGACTTTGGCTGTTTGCTTTGTTGTTTTTTTTTGAAACCCGGATCCTTACAAGCCCCTTCCTCCTTGGTCACGGTCCCTTTGCTGAGTTTTCTCACTTTTTAAGAGTAAAAGCAAAGGGATGCTTTCACCTTTCACCTCAACCCATCCCAGATCCGGAGCCCAAGATGGGGAGGAGGGATTCTTGGCAGTTGGGAAATGACTGGGGGAAGCTGTTTGTTCTCGAACTAAACTCGGATTTTGGGGGGCAGTTTGTGCACTGTTTATTTGGTCAATAGATTGCAAATTAATTCAACGTCTACTGTCGTGGGGCCGGGAGCACAGACCAGCCTAGTTTCTACTCTCGTTAGGGAGAAGCAGATGTTGAACAAACAATTATACATATCAGTGATTTACTTGAAACCTATGACAGATGTTTCAAACATGAGACCCCTGGTTCTGGGTGGATATGACAGAGGTGTGGGGAGTGGAGGGCCAGGGGAACTTTGATGCTCAAGATTGGAAGCTGGTCAGGAGGAAAGAGTCACAGACAGAGGAAGAGTGTGGGCAAAGGCCTGGGCTGGGGAAGACCATGAAGAACTTTAAAAACTCACACCAAGCAAGCAGAGCTGTTTGCGTCTGGGTGGTGGGAGCAGAATGGAGGAAGGATAGTGGCCAGGGAGCAGACAGCAGCAGGGAGCCATGGCGGGTGTGAGCAGGGAAAGGAAGGACATGGTTAGATCAGGCTTAGTATGAAGGAGTTATACTGTGAGTTAGGGTCTGGGGAAAGATAGAAATTAGGCCCAAACAGGCTGGCTCTGGATCGGGGTAGTTAGCTAACTGTGGAACTAAAAGGAGAGAGGAAGTAAGGGAGGCACCCACACCTGACTTAAGGTTATGCAGAATATTAAAGTTGGGGGCAGGGATGATATTGACAATATCAATTCATCCAGTATTAATGGGCATCTGTTGAGAGCCATGCACATGTTGGGCCTTGGCATATGTGACATTTAGAGGGCAAGATGATGAGTAATAATAGATAAGTAAAGAAACCAGCTCGTTCACTAAGCACGCTGGAGGATACTGTCTGGAGGATACTTTCTCTTGTGAGAAGAAACGGGGAAACACAGAGGGGCCTGAACAGAGGTGGGACACGATTTGTCAGCTGCTATGTTAAATGGACACTTCGAGAAGCAAAGGGGACCGGTCAGGTGGAGATGACTGTGTTGGTCCTGATGATGACTGAATCAACATGGTGCTATAGAGGGGATCAGGGTGACAGGATTCTTAGGAGGAGCAGCCATTCCATGAAGGAAGTTCTGGCAGGTTTGCCTATGTGGGGTTCAGTAGAAGTGGGGGAGGCTCTAGGTTTGGGCTCAATCTCTTGGCGAAGTGGACCTGCCACAGGCTGACTGACATAGGGGGTGCAGAACAAAGGCGATGTCTTGGTGAGATCAGGGTGTCAGTTTTTGAGGTGTGAAACAGGCCTTTAGATGTGTGCAGTGTGGGAATCAAATCTAGGGCCTTGTGTGTGCTAGGCGAACACGCTACCACTGAGGCAAACACGCTACCACTGAGCTATACCCCTGTCGAATAGTCCTTGAGCTTGAATGTGGATTCAAGGCTGGGACATACATTTTAGAAGTCTATGTATTTAGATAACATTTCAAGACTTAGGAAGCAGGGCTTGGAGGCACATATCTTTCATCCTAGCACTCCAGAGGCAGAGGCAGGTGGATCTCTGTGACTGTGAAGCCAGCTTGGTCTATACAGGGAGATACAGGACAGCCAGGACTATAGAGAGAGTGTATCTGAAAAAAATAAAAGTAAGGACGGAACTGAGAGGGTTGGGGCGGGACTGGAGCTCGTTTAGCAGAGCACTACACTTGATCTAATGTGTGTTTGAGCTCTTGAGTTTGATCTCTGCATTACAAGAAACATCACCTCCCATCCCGATGAAGACCATGTGTGTGCCCTTACATTTGTGTGTGCATGTGAGTGTACTGTAATGCACACACACACAGGTGCATGAAGCCTTGGAGCACTCCACAGTTACTGTCCGAATGAGATTTGGGTGAGACCTAGTTCTTCCTATGCACTCTCCTAAGGCTTGGCAGGGGTGGACAAGCATATATAGTCCTTGTTTCCTTGAGACGGGGTTTCCACCTGGGCCAAGTCAGCCTTGAACTCCAGATGGAAGAACTCCCGTCACTCAGTTCAGCTGTCTTCCCACAGGCTCTCATTTAATCCAGGCACAGCTTCACAGTTTTGATGACTTCTGATTATCTCATTTAATAGACGCTGAAACTGAGGCCCTATAGGGAAGCAACTCACTAAATATCCTTATCTTGGGATCTCAGCGCAGATCGTCTCCTGTAGCATCTTTCAGGGTTCCTGTCTGGTTGGGTCCCTAAGCCACTGTGCAACGCACGAGAGTCTGCAGGTGTCTGGAAGATCCGCTCAATTGAATTTGAAGACAGTGGCAGCGCCGCTGTGTGTCCTGGGGCGACCCCTGGTGGTATATTGTGGGATCATCGGCCCGTGTCCACTGTCCGCGGTACTAGCGGGTTGAGCTCCTAAACTGGCCGACCCAGGTTCTACCTAAGCCACGTGACTTTCTGACTTTCGGTGGTGCTGTTGCTCCCACATCGTCGCCACGATGGAGGGGCTCCAAACACGTATCATTATCCAATACCTTTCTACTTCTGTCATGTGCAACCTTGTCGCCCTCCAGTAACATGGCAAAACAAAACAATCACAAACACTTGGTCTTGGGAGCCAGTATCTAACTTTGGTAGGACCGCTTCCTAGAGGTGGTTGTGGGCATCGGATTTCTCCTCTCTGCGGCGCAGTTTTCCTGGTACCATGAGTCCTACCATTTCATAAATCCTGTGAGGGTGAATAAATGAGAGGAGGAAGGGAGGGATAGCACCAGAGTTTAGGAGGCTGCCGCATCTTCATGCCCCTCCTCCTTCTTGAGACAGAGTCTCATGTAGCCTAGGGTGGCCTGGAACTACCTATATAGCCACTAAGGGTGACTCTGAACTCCTGGATTTCTTGCCTCTACTCTCATGTGTATTGAGATTACAGGCGTCCATCACCAGGACTATGTGTATGCAGTCTGTGGGATTGATTTTTTTTAATTAATTACGTTTCCATCTCGACCGTAATTTCAGTGACTGATCATTTTCAGACCTTGAGGTGGCACCCTATTCTTCCCGTATGTGTGTAAGAGGCTCCCCCTGCTGGTTAGTGACACCAGTCCAGACCTTCTTCCTCCAAGAATCCCCGTGTTTATGTGTGAACACCTGCCAATTGACTTGTATGTACCTGTGACCCTGAATGTGTCTAGGCAACTGCATGCACACATCTCAGGGTCTGTGCAAATGTTTATGTACATGAACATTTGTGTATTATGTAAGTGAGTATGCCCGTTTTCTGTGTGTATGTGATTATGCATGCATGTATTGGTGGCAAAGCAGGAGAGACACCACTGCGCTTGCGACAGTCCACACAGCTGTGCTCAGGGTCAGTGTCGCAGCTCTCTGCCCTAGTCTCCAAGTCTGACCCTTTTCGTGCAGGCGGCACGCTCCAGATGGACGCTGTCCTTGGGCGCAACCCCAGGTCCTCGCTCCGGCAGGGATGACTCCGAGGTTGGTGTTTCTTGCTCTCTGTCCAGAACTGAGCACTGCTTGTCCACAGTGCAAACTTCCTCCAAACTGCCATTCACTCCCATCACCCTTTCCCACCCCGCTTCCCATGGAATGTTTCTGCTGTTTCCCGGGATCCCCTCCCAAGGAGCTGCCTGGCAGTTAAACCTCGTCTTAGGATTGCTGCCAGGGAAAGTCTTTGACCTAGAATCTTTGTATTAGGGTCTGCTGCTGAGCTCAGACTCACAAGACATGATACTGGCTGGCTCCCCTGACTCCTATAGTCATATTCTTGTGTCCTGACTGCCAAGGAGGGATTTGATCCTAGAGGGTAAATCCCTTGTTCAAGCCACACATAGTTGGTGAGTGGCAGAGCCCAGCCTTGACCTTGGTCTGTCTGATCCCAAGTCAGACGGTCAGTGCTTTCCCAACAGCCTGCTGAGGGTCAGTGAATTCATGACGGGCATTCATAGCAGTGAGTCCCTTGACAAAATGACCCCAACGTCACTGCTGGTGTATATGTCCTCATTCTGCCATCAAAGCAGGTGTCAACACATGCTTCAATCTGCCCATACTAATGATTTGCTAAGGAGAATTGTTACCCCCCCCCCCCCCTTCCTCCCTCCCTCCCTGGCTGTTTGTTAAAAAAGTAGTACGTATGGGAAATCACTTGTAAATATACAAATTCATATTTTGGTGAGGGCTCAACAGAGCTGACTTGCTATACCCTAGTGAACATTATCCAGAGCAGATTGTCTGAGTGGGAAGAAGCCATTGCCAAGATGGCTGACTCTCACGGTAGACAAATGGCTGGACATCTCAGGTCTTTTCAGGCAAGGGCTCTCTGTGGGGCTGCTGGGGCTTCCTATTATGGTGTCCATTGGGGCCAAGATTGTGCAGTCCAATGGGCCTGGAAGGAAACTGTACACCATCTGTGACATAAGCACCAATGTCCAAGATGTCATGGGGACTGCCCAGATTCCAGGAGAGAGGAGTTAGGCTTTCATCCTTGAATTGGTAGGGTTCTCTGGAGAACCAATACATAGATGGCTTCATGTGTATAATATTTTGACATTTTAAAACGACGCTATCACCTTTGAAGTTGGTACTTAAGAAATACATAATCAAGCAACCAAAAAAGAAAAAAAAGGAAAAATGTTAGCCATGTGCCTACATGTGTGAGTATGTGTGTGTGTGTGTGTGTGTGTGTGAGAGAGAGAGAGAGAGAGAGAGAGAGAGAGAGAGAGAGAGAGAGAGGGAGAGAGAGGGAGTAGGCCCCTTCTCAGTGCAGAAGCTGCCTACGTGTGTGAGTATGGCCATGGACCCCCTCCACAGTGCGGAGGCATTTGGAACCAACTGATTTGGGGACCAGACTTCGGTTCTCTGCATAGTGGCACAGGCTCTCAACCACTGGGACATCTTTCCAGTCCCCTTCCACCAAATTTTATAAGGATTTGAATAAGTGTATGATTTTGTGTTAGGGACACTCAGAACTGTCCTGGGGGCACTATGTGGCCCTTAAGCTGCAGTTTGGATGTACCTGGATTATTTGAAAGGAGAAAAAAGAGTTGTATCTCTTTTTAAAATGTCTATTAATTGTGCAAATAATGGGTTCACTGTGACAGTTTCATAATATACATGGGTCATATTCCTGCTATTAC